GTTCATGCAGATCTGAGTCCAAGACCGTATTGTTGTGGCATATTGAGTTTGCGCTGCACTAAAACCTTCACATCTTTTCCATGCGAACTGTGGTGTAGCCATACCTTGCCTACTCTGTAGTCGTTTGGGTGACATTAAAACAAAAAAAAAACCAACTTAGGTGTAAAACTTTTATCCCGATGCTTGCAGTAAACCTACTTTTTCTCCACTGTCCTATGGCTCCAATACTATCTCTGTCATTTCTTAGACCAAAACATAGCATCATTGGTTTAGAACTAGAATTTGGAGGTCATTAAATCTAACACTAGGGCAGCTAGGTGGCACACAGTGGATAGAGTACCAGGCCTGGAGTTAGGAAGACTGAGTTCAAATCTAGCCTCAGACACTAGCTATGCGACCCTGGACAAGTCACTTAACCCTATTTGCTTCAGTTTCCTCAACTGAAAAATGAGCTGGAGAAGGAAATTGCAAACCACTCCAATATCTCTGCCAGGAAAATCTCAACTGAAACAACTCAACAAAGAATCCAACCCCTCATTTTTACAGATGAGGGAACAAAGGCTTAGAAAAGTCAAGTGACTTGTCCAAGGACACAAAGGTAGTAAGTGTCTGAGGCAGCTTTTGAACTTAGGTCTCCCTGACTCCGGGTTCAGCATTCTATCCACTGTTCCAACTAGAGACCTTCCTTCTAAGGGCAGGCTGTTTGAGCGCAGGTTGAGGTCCTGTGAATTGCTAATGTTTTAAATTAAATTATTCAGATACTACTTGTTGGCATACTGGATAGGCACTGGATAGCAAAACAGACAGGTATGATATCTGTCTTCTAGATAATTGACCTTATCCAAAGCATGGACCAATGTTCAAAGGGAGAATTGTATAACACCATAAAAAGATATGAATCATTCAAGAATAACTATCTGAATGCTTAAACGGAATAAGTGAGAGTCAGGTTGGATGAGGCCTCCCACTGGTTTGGAATGGATGGCCTAGGCATCTAGAAGATACCTAGATTATAGAGAACTTGTTCTCCCCCCCACTGCTAGCTTAGTACCAAGATTCCATTCCTTGAGCTCCTTTCCTGATTCTCGTCTAAATCTTCATCCTCCCCACCAGATAACAATGATAATAACTAGCCTTTATGCAGCATTTTAAAGTTAGTCAAGTACTTTATATACTTAAGCTCTCTTATTCTCACCATAAACCTATCAGGTAGGTACTATTAGCATCCTCTTTGTACAGATGAGGAAACAGGCTCAGAGAGATTAAGCGACTGGACTATTCACAGCAAGTAAGGGCCTGAGAAGTATTGGAACCCAGGTCTTCCTGATTCCAGGTTCAACAACCTAGCTACTATGTCAGGGGAGCTAGATGAGGGTTAGTAACAGGGGCCAACCGTGGACTTTGTAATTTGCAAGGGTGAGGCTGAACACAGCACAGGGCGGTGGAAAGAGCTAGACTTAGAGTCAGGGTACTTGGTTGGAATCCAGGGTCTGCTACCCACTACCTGGATGACCTTGTCGGAGTCCCTTTCTCTCCCTAGGCTTCAGTTTCTTCCCGGGTAAAACAAGAGAGATGGACCAGATGCCCTCTAAGGTCTCCCTTAACTCTTAATCTCTGATCCAACAAGAATTCTCTGTTATAGAGGACTTTTATTTTCATGGGGGAAACCTTCTGGAGAGCTGGTATACAGACAGCACCTCTTGTGATTTTATGGTAGAATGAATGCCAGGCCATGGAGTGAGAAAACTACTCCCTACCAAATGTCTGCTGTGAAATTTGACCTGTGTTTAGGTGCAAAGCATTATTATGATTATTTTCTGCACTGACAGGACACTGCTGGGAGGATGCTTTTGCCGGTGGAGAGACTGTCTGGAGAGAAGCTGGCTATTTGTGCTCCGTTTAAACATTCATGAGCCTTACTGGTTAAAAATAAGATCCAGCTGCAGAGATAATCATCCAGGAAAATTCAGAGGTGAGAATGGTAAAGCAGACGTTGGAAATGTAAAACAAAGCCCAGCGCACAATAGCTAGGGTGACTTAGGCAAGATATGGGCAATACTATTAAAAAGCCACTGGAGGCAAAGGGAGAGGGAGATGCTTGTTACGGGGATGCTTGAGGAACCAAAGAGCCAAAGGTCTGTGGGTTTTAATCTGATGACAGCCTAGCCTCCCCAGGCACAGCCCAGCCCTGGACCAAGAATTGGTTGCTGTAGCCAAATGATTGCTTTAGATCCAGGAGAAAGTGTATTCCTTAGTTGTGCATGCAAGAAAACAAAAACTCCATTTTGCAAGAAGCCATATGCATCACTTGGTGTTTAGCTGTCATGCTTGCTCCGTCTGCTGGCTCTCTTCTAACCCAGTTTCTAACCCATGTTTGCATATCTGGGGGACATATTCTCCATTTGTGGCCAGGTGGGGTGCAAAATAGCAAGTTCAGTGTCCTGTCTTTGGTCTGATCATGATCACTCAGAGCACTGGCTGGTCTGTAAGATGGAGGCCAGCGCAGGGAGGGGAGAAATGACAGTGTGAGCACATAACTTGTCATTATGAAGACTGATCTAGAGTAGGGGTCTGTGAAAAGATTTCAGGGGGTCTATGAACTTCGGCGGGAAAAAAGATATCTTTATTTTCACTACCCTTTGGTTTCCTTTTTACACCCATGCATTTTATTTTATGTACTTTAAGACATTTACATGAGAAAGGGTTCTGGCTTCGCCAGATTGTCAAAGGTGTCAGTGACACCAAAAAAGATGAAGAAACCCTGGTTGAAGAAAAAATAAATAGTACTGATGGAATTCAATAACAAGATAATAAGAAAAACTTTCATGTCTGGAGTGCTTTGATGTGGATAAGTACTTTCCTCACAAAGATGCTGTGAGGTACACAGTACAAGCACATAATGGAAAGAATACTGAACTAAAATCAGGAGATACCTGGGTTTGAATTCTGGCTCTGACACTTATTAGCTTTGTGACCTTGGGTAAGTTATTTAACCTTTCTGTGCTTATTTCCTCATCTGTAAAATGGGGATAATAACATTCATACAAATTATGTGTATGTATATCTATGTGTATTTATACCTATATCATCTATATTTACATTTTTATCTCTATCATTTATATCTTCTGTTGCATGTCTTCTCGCCCAGTAGATTGTAAACTGTTTGAAGGCAGGGACTGTATTTACCTTTCTTTCTATCCCCAGCACTTAGCACAGTGCCTGGTATAGGAGTTTAGTAAATGCTTGCTGCTTTGATTTGAGAGTCCACTTGGCATAATGAATAGAAACTTGCCCAGGAATCAGGAAGAACTGCCTTCAAGTCCTACCTTGGACACATATTGATTGGGTGATCTTGGATAAGCCATTAAGCCTTTTAGTGCCCCAAGCAATATAGTCTCTAAAACTATACATTAAAGAATGGGTGCTGGTTTTCATTGGTAGAGGAAGTTTCTTCAACTGAAATTCTCTATACCTTGGAAACGAGAGGTCTTTTGCCCTCTTTTTCCCAAATCATTGTGGTGCAGGGAGACACAAGCAGCTTAGGGGAGGAGGAAAGGCTTCATGTAGAAGACTGTGTTTGAGTTGATATGTACAGAAAACCAGGGCTTTTAAGAGTCAGAGATTAGGATAATACAAATTATAGTCATAGGGAACAAAAAGTCCATGCAAGGGCCTGGAGCTCTCTCCAGGAAGCGAGATGTCACTTGTGAAAAAGAACAGCTTGTTGCCCTGACCAGTGCTTAGCAGAGGGCTTTTCCTTATGGGGTGTTGCCTACACCAGTGAAAGCCAGGTTTAGTCCCTACCCCAAGCATAACTCCCATCCCTCCCTCTCCAAATGACTGTGAGAAAAGTACTTTGTAAACCTAATTGTGAGTTGCTATGATTATTGTCCCCATTTTACAGGTGAGACTCCAAGAAATCTGGTAGCTTGCCCTGGGTTCTACAACCAGGAAGTATCAGAGCCAATTCAAACCCAAGCTTCCTGACTCTAAATCCAGTGCCTTCTCCACCATTTGCATGAGAAGATTGGTGAGAAATGAATGGGACTCCACTGGAGCGTTGGCCGTGGTGCTGAATGGGGTTTACTCAGGCCTTACCTTCATGGTTGAATTTATAGTGCAGTGTGATGGGGCCATTACATCTCTGAATTGTCCAGTGTGCTTCCTCCTTCGTGCAAGTATCCAAGGGAACGCTCTGCTTCTCGCCTTTGATGCAGCCCTCCAGCTAGATATCAAAGAAACACTGTTCCTCACTGAGGGCTCCTGGGCCGGCCAAGCCTCGTGAGTAGGATTATTCCACATACGAAATAAAAGCATCTTTTTCTGAACAAACAACTTGCCTGGTGCTGCTGGGAGGGAATAAAGCTTCCTACTTAAATCATGCTTGTTAAACTTTCTTATCACCTGCCTCTCTGAGCCCGTGCATGCATGTGTGCAGTAGTAGGGTTCTATTCTAGAAATGCAATCAAGAATACTGGATGGGGCTGGGGGAAGAGGGGGGTGTGACCTTTCATAACTCCCATCCCCTCCCAAAGATGGCATTCTTGGGGGTGGAGAATAAAAGGGGCCAGAGAGGAGGCCCTGCTCTTTCACATTTTTTTATCTTTTCATTTAGGCATTCTATAGAAAACACAGGAACAGATTGTCAGGGGACCTTGCATTGTGTCAGTGGCATAAATACAGAGAAGAAATGGAGGGGAAAATAATGAGAACTTTCTTTTTTTTTTTAAAGCCTCACCAGTAGCAGCTGGTGTCCCTCCCGGAGGCCTTCTTTTTCCGCCAGGGATCCTGGCTTGACAGAGTGAATGAAGCTGCCTCGATCATTTCCCCCCAGCAGGGTGATTTCAGTGATGAGGTTATCTCCGTTCAGGGTTGTGTGCTGCACTGGATGGCATGTGGTCTTGATGTGACCAACAGATGTGACAGAGGGACGGAAAGGTCTAGGGCCAGGAAATCAAGAAGCTGCTTAGATGGGTCTGTTTTCAGATGCACTGGGCTAAAAATAGAGAGCTTCTACCCAGGAAAAGCCAAGGGGAGACAGAACCTGCATGCACCAGCTTCCTGTATTTATCAGGAGCTGGAGTGTGGATGGAGAAAAACAGGTTTTAGTGGCTTAACTTACGGGAAAAGGCTTTCAATTATCAAAAGCACAGGCAGGAAATGGAACCAATTTCCCATGACTAAAAGGGACTGAATCCAGATACTGTCAGGACTGAGACATAAGGTCACTGGAGTCAGTCTAGTTCAACCAAACCTTGCCCTTTTCTTGACCATGACTCTGTAAGCCACCGGACTTTAACTGGAACAGTTGGTGACTTTGCCAAGTAGGACTTCACAGGGACTTTGAGATGTATGGGGAAAAGCACTGGGTTGGGAGTTGGGAAACTTGAGCACATAGCACCATAGATATATATAGAGCTGGGAGGCATCTTAGAGGGCATATAGTTTAAACCCCTCATTTTATAGATAAGGAAACTGAATCCCAGATAAATGAAGTGATTTTCCCATGATCACACAGGTGACAGAGTTAGGATTTGAACTCAGATCCCTTGACTTCAAATCCAGTTTTTTTCCCACTGGCCCAAAAACCATTCTATGTCAGAGTCTGTTGCTAACTAGCTGAGCAAGGTGGAGAAGGTCACTCAATTTCCATGGACCTCAATCTCTTCATCTACAGAATGGGGCGAGTTGGACTAGATGAACTTTAAGCTCACTTACTGCTAAATGATTTTAAAGTTCTATGGCTTCAGGATAACTCAGGAGTTCAGGGTAACATGCAGTTGTCACAAGTTGGTTCACTTCTCAGAAAACCAGGGTAGAATTTATCTCCATAAAACCAGCTACCTCCCTTCATCACTACCCCCATCCTCACCCTTCACTCTCCCATTTCCCACTGCAGTACCTTTCCAGAGAAAATTTCCTAAACATGATGTTGACTTGCTCAAGATCAAAGGCATCCAGGCTCTCAGACTGATGGGAAGAGGAAGAGGAGTGGATGGAGGGGGGTCCAAAGGAGTAGCGGTCATGGTTGTCATCTGAAAAGGGGGAAAATAATCTCTATTGGGCTAATGAAGTAGCTGATAGTAGCAGTGACCAATTAGGGAAAGAGAAACACACAGAGTAAAGCAATTATATTTGGAAATGGCAAACCCAATCCACCTATGTCAGTCTTGCCAGATGTCAGTGAGACTCTACAATCACAGTTAAGTTTACTCTTTTGCTTCTTGTTTAGCCAAAGCACAAACCCAGAACCACAAATGGCTCCATAGCCAGATGTCCTTATTCCCTTTGGGGGCGCCGATGCCACTGGGAGGGAGATGTCTCTTCCAGATAAGAAAGCTAGGAGGGAAAATGCAGTTGGATCACATTTGGCCTCACTCTATGATCCAGAGAAGACAACCCTCAGAGGCAGAAGGTGGAGTCATTTGCATCTGTTCTAATAGTAATTCACACGGTCCTCTGACGTTGGGAGTCACTGTGGCACAATGTCTGTTTCTCAAGAACTCTAGACGTTTGGGTATCTCAATCAAGGTTAATGAGCCTTTCTATGATCACTTTTCAATGGTTTCTGAATTTATGTTGAAGCAAATTTTGATTTTATACCTTCTACTGTACAGCTACCCCATCATCTAGGGCAGTGGCCATTAGGCCAATGCCAGTTTCCCAAGTGAGAGCTAGGAAAAGGGTGGCTTTGAAGAAGCTGAATGCTAGGATCACAGATTTAGAGATCATCTAGTTCAACCCCTTTTGCAGGAGAGGAAAATGAAGCCCACTGAGGTGAGGTGACTTGACAAGTGTCACATAGGTAACAAGCATCAAAGCCAAGATTTGAACCTAGGCCCTGTGCCTCCAAACACAACTCTATTTCCATTGGACCACACTGCCTCTCAATGTCAGAAAGCTCTTTTTTTCCATCCTGTTTTAAATCATGTGATACCTAGGTTATAGGATACCTTCCCCATTCAGAAAGTGATAAGTCCAGAGATCCACAGAACTGAAAAATCTACAAATACTTCAAAGTATTAATAATAAAGATTTATTTGCAAAAGGCTATTTATTCCCAACTCAAAACAGTTTAAACAGAGCCACATTTCTCTCCAAAGTTCTCCCTTTTATTTTCCAATGTTTTTTCAATTCTTCTAATTACACAGCCTTTGTTAGGGGCTATTACTTTTCTGAAGCATTTTTCAGCTTATGACTCTCTCCAGTCAAGGAGGATTCCACAATGCCTTTTTATCCAGAGGCCTCTGTGGGCTGTTGCAAATGAGAGGTAGTGCTGGAGTGGGGAAGGCAGCTCAACTTCAGGTGGGCTGAGATGACAAACCCTTGAATATTCAAAATCATGAATCCTAAATCCAGGAATCTGGAGAATTTTCTGCATTGCTAGGTTTACTACAGGTCAGGAGACCTATTGGTTGAGAATGATGCCTTCTTCATAGCCTTGATGCCCAGGCCCCCTCTTCACAAGTCCTTTTGGCTTTTCCTTAGCTACAGCACCTAGCTTAGCAGGTTGTGACAATAACATTATCTTTGTCCTCTCCCCCTAGGATCATCTTTCAGTCTCTCTCCTTCCTGCATCCTTTCTGAAACTGGCATTTTTGTTACATAATAAAACCCTTCCTTCATCTCTTCCTCTCTCTCTCTCTCCTTTCTTTCTTCCAAAGGTATAACCTGTTTTTCCACTGATAGATCTAGGAGTCCTATGCTCTTAGGTTTTAAAATAGTAAACCATTCTGTCCTTTTCCCTGTCTCTTTTTCTCTCTCTTTCCTCTTCCTCCTCCTCTTCTTTTTTCTCTCCTCCTCCTACTTCTCTTCTTCTTCTCCTCTTCCTCTTCCCCCTCTCTGTCTCTCTGTCTCTTCCTCTTCCCTCTTTCCTACTGCCTCTCTGCAAAAAAACCCTATAAATCTATGGAAGAAGCCTCCAGACTTAGGCCTTACCCCAGTGACTTTCCTTCTTATATCTCATGGTAATAAAGTACAACTTCAATGTGCTCGCCATCATCCAAACCCCTTTCCCTTCCTTCTCCTTTTTTTAGGGGCTAGTTCTCTCCATATTGCCCAGGCTAGAAGTTCAGTGTCTATTCACAATCCAGAATGACACAGGGGCTTTGATCTGCTATCTCCGATCTGGGATGGTTCATCCTTTCCTAGGCAACTTCATGGTCCTTTGCTCTCTAGGGACTCATCATATTGATTTTGGACTTAATGTGGACATCTAATTGACTTGGTTCAAGAGATCTACCACCTCAGCCTCCCTGCTAGCAGAGATTACAGACATGTGTTACCCTACCCAGCTCTCCTTCATTCTCGTACCACTAACTGGTTGGAGTAGACAGAGGTGTTCACTTCTACTTGCAGGAGCCCTCCAATTAGCCATTCACTTACCATCTAGATCTAAAGCATCAAATCCAAAACTGTCAGTGTCTTCTTCAACTATACTGTAAGACAAAAGGGAGAGATGATGGTGGTAGCAGAGTATGTATATGTGTGAGAGTGCCTGAGAGGAGTGGTAAGGAGGAAGAGAAAGAGTAAAGAGAAAGAAAGAGATAGGGAGAGATTTTCAACTTTCTAATAGGTATTGATGAGGGGGCCCTTTGTGACAGGACCAGGAGATGAAATGGCAGAAAATAAATGGGTAGGATGGCGTGGGGACGCAAGAACAAGATTGGAAAGCAAAATAAACACTCTTATGAATCCCTAAGCTATTCATTGGAAGGCAATGTCATTAGTAAGGCATCTTTGAACGGAAAGTAACTCTGGAGACTGAGGTATATACATTTAAGAGGCAACAAAGTGTGAAAACTTAGGGGTGAATAGTAGAGTGGGGGGGAGTACAGGTAGCACTAATGGCATAAGCTGAAGAACTGGGGATGGTAGGTAAGAGTAGGTCTCTGTGGGTTTGAGCCTGATATTTCCACTCTGATTCTGACTTCTTTGAGAGACTAATTGTGTAATACCCATTTGTACTTCAGTGGATTTTTATTCCATGATGGGCTGAAAATAGCTTGAGTGCTCTGATCGGCAGAACGAATGGAAGACAGCAATGCTTTATACTGTTCGCCATTTTTCATTTATGGTCCTTTCAAATGGGGCATCCAGGGACACTAACAGCAGATCAGGGTGTAGGAATAACAACAGCAGCACATGGCTACCTAAAAAAGAAAACTCAAACGACTCCCAAATCCCATGCTATCTGGCCTGCTTCCTGCACCAGGAAAAGGAGACACTGCAGGATTGCTAAGGGAGTTCGTACGGAATTTCAAGTTAACTCACCGGCATTGTAGACAAAGTTAACGCAGAAATTCTATCTTCTCTCCAAGTCATTCTCCAGAAGGCACTATGGAGTAACTCTTTAGTTCTCCTACTGCCCATGCCAACAATTCCTTTCCACAGATGACCCTTCCCCCACAAAGAGGAAATGGAATGCCCAACTACTCCTCTGAATGCCCAATCAAAGGGAGAAGGGAGTGTGGTGAGGGGCCCCACTAAAGTCAAGTACCAGTCAATGGCTTCCCATGCAGGTTGCCAAACATCCAGATGCTTCTGAACATTGTTCTATTTTCACTCTAGTGTAGGGACTTGTACAAGCATAACCTATGCCACAGTCTTGCTTTCTCAGTGGCACTGAGTGACCACTCCTACCCCATTCCTTGGAGGAAAGTCTAAGGATTGTGTTTCCTCTATGGAAGTGGTCTGAATTGACACTGAGCAGCAAGATGATTGTTTTTTTCCCGAGGGGCTTGTCTTCCTTTCCTAGTCACTTACCTACGATGAGGTGCGTCTTCTTTACATCTTCTGACAATGGAGTCATTTCCTGGAGGCTCCGCAGTGATAGACATGATGCTATTGCGATTTCTAAGGGGCAGCTTTAAAACACACAAATACACACACCCACACATCATTATATATGCACATATATGTATATATATATGTGTGTGTATGTATTTTGCATATGCCTACATATATGTATATGTGTGTGTGTGTGTGTGTGTTTGTGTGTGTGTATACACACACAGTTTAATACATCTTTAACTCTGGAAGCTACATCCTTAACTGAATCTATGTCCCTTTTGACTCAGAAAAGTTTTTGAGGGCAGCCATGACACTCTTGCCTCTCCCTCCAAATCCTGGCTACAGAAATGGAACAGGCTTAGCTCATGACCACTGAGATTAGTGTACATCTGCTTACACATCTGTGTGAAAAAGTGGGGCAGGGAGGGGAGGAGGGGTGGTACAGGCATGCTTGCCAAAGAGCAGGATGCCGCATTTTCCCCTTCAGAAACTGGAGGGCTTTCATTGCTCACTGTGCCCAGGACCTTCCCTGTATGTTCCAGGGACAGAGGCACATTGCATGAAGACACCAATTGCTGCTTGCATGCAGTCAGCTGCCTGAGGCTTAGCAGGCCCGCACAGATGTTGAAATCAGGCCCATGTTAAAGGGGCCACGAGCCAGGATGCACCACAGCACATGAGGCCTGCTTTCAGGAGCCTTGGAGATATTCTATCCTACACAACAGTCAGGCAGGAATCCTTCATTACACACATCCCTGCCATCCTCCCCCAGGGGCCTATTTTGAATGCCAAACTGGGCGAGAATTCTTAATCTGGGATTTGTGAATTTTAAAAATATTACAATTATAAATCAATATAACCAATTTCCTTTGCAATCCCAGGTATTTAATGTTATTCACTGAAAAATATTATTCTGAGAAGGGGCCATAGGATTCATCAGCCCTCCAAAGGAGTCCACAACCCACAAAAAAGTTAAGAACCCATGTCCTATGGGGTCTGCCCTCTTCAGGGGCAGGGTTTCTAATTTCCAGGAGTTTTTACTCCTTGTGGGGTCTGGGTATTGGAGTCAGGGCAACTTGGTTCATGGTTAGAACTGCCTGGGCAACAGCTGAGCTCGCCCACAGTGAGGGAGGGAGGGGGGAGATTTGCTTTGATATACTTGGATTTCCACCTAACAGCATTACCGCCCTGCCTCCCCAATCCTGCCAAAATTGCCAGGGGCTGAGAAGATACAGAAGATCCCAGGTTTTCAAAGGTATGTAGGACTCATTACAGCCCCTGGGAGACCCATCTTCTCCTCCACCCACTGAGTGTTAAATTGGGAGAGGAGGAGGCAAGGAGGTGTAAATGTGTCTTAAGGTTGTGTTGAAATATCTTTAAATAAACATAAGACCTAGCATAATGACTCTGGAAAGGTGAATAGCATGGCTCCAAGAACATGCCTATGCATGAATAGGAAGCAGGAGGCAATACTCTGTGAGGGAACACAACTTAGTTACGGTCTTAAGGAGCTGGAGATAAGGTTCCAGATGGCTACAGGTTAAAGTAAGGGAGAGGAGCATCTTACCATTTTGTTGAGAGAGTTGTCGATGGAAAGAGGATTGGAGGAGTTGCTACTGGCATCCATTCCATTTTCTTTACAGGAGAGAGAGAGAGAGAGAGAGAGAGAGAGAGAGAGAGAGAGAGAGAGAGAGAGACAGACAGAGACAGAGAGACAGAGACACGCAGAGAGAGAGAGAGAGAAAGATAGAGAGAGACAGGGAAAGAGAGAAAGACAGAGAGAGAGAGAGAGATCAGTGCTTCATTTGACCATTTAACTCTCCTGTTCAAGAAGCATCAATGGCTCCCTATTGACTAGAGGCAATACAAATTCCCTGGTTTGACATTAAAAACCCTTCATAGTCTGGCTGTAGTCTACCTTCCCAAACTTATTTCCCATTATTCCCCTTTGCCACTCTGTGTTCCAAGTCACACTGGCCACTTGCCATTCTATTTCCCACCTCTCTGCCTTACCACAGGCTGTCTCTCATGCCTGGAGCACATTCTTTCCTCACCTCCATTCTTTGGAATCCCTAACTTTCTTCAAAGCTCAGCTCAGATTCCACACCATACATCCACAAAGCCTCCCCTTATCTCTTCCACTCCAGTTATTACTCTCCATACCCTCCCCCTGTTTTTAAACAAAACCTGTGATTTTTTTGTTTGTAGGGAGCCCCTAGTGAGGACCTTCTTCTACTAATGCAGATCAGCACCTTCTCTGCAGCTTTATCAGAGAGATTAAGATGTTAAAATGACTGCCCAGGGTCACATGCTTAGTATATGTCAGAAGGGGGACTAGAACCTAGTTCTACTTGACTCTAAGGCCAGCTCTATCAACTCTGAACACTGCCTCTGTAATATTACTTTATTTTTTAATAGAATTTTATTTTTTCATATATGTATTTCAACATTCACTTTCCACAAAATAATATTACTTTATTTTTATTTATACACCTTGTATTTACTTATCTGAATACACCAAGTGTCTCAGTAGAATGCAAGTTCCTTGAGGGCAGGGATTGTCTCATTTTGGTCTTTGTTAGCCCAGAGCCCTCCCACACAGAGTAAATGCTTAATAACTGCTTATTGAACTGAATTAAATTTGGCTCTGAACTTTTCTAAATTTCAGCACTTCATGACCCTGGGGACTTAGTGTTGGTGGATAAAGTGCATTCTCTTAACATTTTAACTTCCTTTCTTCTCACTGTCCAGGGCAACAATAACAGATTAGGCAAAAACATCCTTTAAACATGGCCTTCTTATTCCTATCTGCCCCCATGGATGGAAATAGGGGTTATTAGGCGTCTCTGCTGCTTAGCGACTTAAAGCATTATCATTCCTTATGGTATTTTCATTATGTTGTTGTTGCATAATATTAAAAGATGCACCTAGAAAGGGTAATGCCTAACATAAAGGGGCGAATCTCTAAGAAATTTCAGGTATATGTCACTGGGTGGAAATTTTTGAGAGAGAGAGAGAGAGACAGAGAGAGTGAGAGAGAGAGAGAGAGAGAGAGAAAGAGAGAGAGAGAGAGAGAGAGAGAGAGAGAGAGAGAGAGGGAGAGAGAGAGAGAGAGAGAGAGAGAGGGAGAGAGGAGAGAACTCTGTGTGCATGCATGAGCTTCCTACTTTCTGGTATCACCTTGCCCAATCATAGGCAGCCACCTTCGGGTAAGGATGGTCAGGGCAGTGAAAAGTCTATGAGGCAAGAGAGTGTAGCCTGGAATTCTTGAACCTTCGCTTCAGTCCCCAAAGTGTTGCACTGGGGGGTGGGGGCTGCACAGAACAGAGTTAGGGATATGGTAGAGCAAGGGCAGGAAGCATTCAAACTCACAGGATTCTGGCTTTAGAGCTGGACAGGACTTCACTTTATAATTGGGGAAGCAGAGCCCCAGAAAGGGAAAGCCCAAGGCTGCACAAGTAGTAAGTGGCAGGTTCACGATTTAAACTCGGGTTTTTGGCTCAAAATCCAGCACTTTTTCCACTGTACGTGGCTCCAGCTATTTAAAGGCATTACCATTGCCTCATCTTCCTATAAATCGTTCCTGAGGAGAGAGTGCTCTGGATATAGGGAAGGGGAACAGGTAGAGAGCTCTGGCCAGAATCCGCTTTAGATCTCCAAGAAGGAATTGGAGTCTAGAACTGTGAATTCTAGAATGTTGTTCTTGTTCAGTCGTGTTTGACTCTTCGTGACTCCGTTTGGGGTTTTCTTGGCAAAGATACTGGAGTGGTTTGCCATTTCCTTCTCCAGTTCATTTCACAGATGAGGAAATGAAGCAAACATGGTTAAGTGACTTGCCCAGGGTCACACAGCTAGTAAGTGTCTGGGGTTGGATTTGAACTCAGCTCTTTCTGACTCTGGTTTTGGAGCTCTATCCACTGTGCCACTTAGCTGCCATTCTATTCATTCTAGAATGACTGGCTCTATATTCTATAGCTCAGATGTTGGCATCTGGTAAGAGGTCTGGCAGTTGCAGGGACTGAATCAAGGGTTTTGTGAGTCACCCTAAGGCATTCCTGTCCCAAGAGGGGCTGTTATCCAGTCTAATTAAAAGACTAGGAAAGAACAGTGCTGTTTCTAAGGTCGGAAGATCTGGATTCAAATCTTGCCCATCGCTACCTCTCTGTGCCTTTAGATGAATCAGTTAACCTCTCTGATCCTCAGTTTCCCCACCTGTAAAAAAAGAGGGGATTGGACTAGATGGCTTCTGAGGTCTCTCCCAGCTTTAAATCTATCCTCCCATTCTTTTGTGATCCTATGACAACTGGATTGGGGTGCTGGCTTTCCTTAGGTCCCACTCCAGCTCTGCCTAATTCCCCGTACTCCCTCTACCTTCCTTTGCCTCAGTTACCCGCATCTGTAAAGTGTAAATTATCATACTCAGTATTTCCCTCTCTTGCAGGGTTGCCGTAAGAATGAATGAATTGAGGAATGTTAAGAGGGCCCTTTGTGTCTCAGAGTGCCAGGTGTTTACAGATCTCTCGAGTCATTATTCACTGGAGTCTCACATCCCTGGGGATTTTCCTTGGTTGAAAAGTTTTAGGGGGAAGGTCAAGCATCCTTCCAAATAGTAGCCCATTAGCAAAATGCAAAGTTCAGCAGGAGTAGTTAAGGGCCCCAGATAGACCTACCAGGAGGCAGAGGAGGAATGTAGCTTGAGCCACAGATGTTAGGTTTGATCAGTCAGGACTCCTGCCCACTTCAGATGACAATTATCATTAATTATTGTCTGCAACCTGCTCCCCCCTCCCAACATGGGGGCTTTCAAGCCTTGTCCTGGGTTTACCCTGCTGTATTGATTACTGCATCCAGAGAAACAGATGGACTGCAAGAGACAGATTGACAGACAGTCAAGTGGGATCTGGGTTTTCTCACTAACCTTGAAAATCTGATGCCCGCTTCATGCTGACAGGGGATTTAGCTCTTTGCAGCTGAAAGAGAAGGGAGGGATGGGAAAGAAAAAAAAGGACGGGATAAGAATCAAACAGGACTCTAGACATATGTCACAGTCACTGAGAAAGCAAGAAAGAAAAACATCAATGCTGCCATTCTGTCCTTTGTCAAAATGCAGTCTGGGCTACCCCCGTCAGACAGAGGCAAAGGAGAGAGTCCCTTGAATCATGGAGCACACCAGGATACCTGACTCCTGCGGCAGGAGTGACAAGACTAGAATAGGTTCCCTTGGGCTCAGATTAGGCAGCTACTAATACAAACAACACTGCACCACTATCCGCCCCACTCTATCCCTCACATAAAGGCTGAAAGCACAATATGGCTCTGGGCAGAAGATGCTACAAGATCCAGAGAGGTGGAGTGGGCAGGCAGGATTCAGATGTCTCCAAATAGAGGGTGAGAAGAGTAGAGCCAGGTACATGGCCCAGGGAAATGCTGGGCTGGGGGAAGAGGAGGGATGGCTCTAAGATGCGGGAAAGGACAAAACATTCAGGCATCTCTACGAGATGACCTCTGGCTGCGCACTGGCCAGGAGGCTGTTCCCTGGCTGGAATTCTGACTTGGCTCATGCTTTTGAGGCATGTACTCAGACGGCCCAGCAAAAATGGGGTGAGGATTACATATTTTCATGCCCTGATTGGTACAGATTTTCTTCTTCTAAACCATGTACATCATGTCAGTTGATCATGAGACAGTCAGTCATTCAATCAGCAAGCACTAGATTGGGAAGAGGGCAGTGTGAATGTGATTAAAAGTCTCTGGACTTCACTTTATTTTTTATTCTCTCCAGACCAAAGCATAAATCTGGGTGTAACTTCACCCCTAATTGGGATCCATACACTTGCTCTCCTTATTTCTGCCAGTGCCACTATATCTGATTCTCACTAATAGGGAGGAACTAATTATCACATAGAAATGATGGGAACCTAGGAGGGGCAGGAAAGTGAGCCCTGCCTCCTAGAATTTGTGACAGAGAAAGAGAGGGAATCCGGGCATGCGCTCTCGATTTCGGGAAAGCAGATTTTAAAGGGGTCAGAGGTAGGATAAGTAGGATCCTATGGACTGAAATTCTATAGGGGAAATCAGTCCAAGAAGGAGGGGAAATTGTCAAGAAGGAAACTCTGTAGATGCAAAAGGAAACAATTCCAATGAGGGGGATAATAGGATCATATTGCCTCATCAGTAAGTGCTGGCTCATTGATTGATACTAAGTACTTGGAAAACATAATAAAGGGCAGTCTCAGTTCCCCTCCCTCCCCCAACTTGCTCCCCTAAAGCTCATGTGACTGTTGTCAATAGCCATCGGAGCACTCAGAGACAGCCTTCTCATTAACAATTTGCCTGAGGTAAATAAGAATTGATCTTTGATGAGTGGAAACATTTTATTTTGTTATTATCCTACCATCGTGATGGAAAACAGATTAGTAGAAACAAACCAACAGGCATAAAAGCAAGCTGGTAGGTTTTGGACTTCTATTCATAAGGCTGAATTGAGACCAGCCACATTGTGACTGCCGAATCCTGTCTCCACCTCATCTTCCCCCCTCCTCCCCCCAAAGAAATGAGACTCTTCAAGGGGAATGTTTGCATCTATTGGGGTGACATTAGCTACCCTAGACTCCTTCCCTTTCATTCAATCAGAACCAAGTAGTTCAGAACATTGGTGCCCAGACCCCTGGTTTCCCCATAAAGAAGTACCTGGATGCCCTTCAAGTTCATTCTCCGCTTTGGGGGATGATAGGGCAGGAAATACTTGCTGTCCTCTGGTGAATCCTCAGAAGTTGATGAATCATCTGCTTCCTGACCATTGGTTTTAGGGCTGGAATCTCCAAAGGTCTGAGAGATAATAGTTACTGGCAGATTCCTGGGAAGACTCTGGAAACAGGCATACAAATTTAGGGTAGGTAAAGGTACCCTAGAAACAGTTCTCATCCAAGTGAGAGACCTGGATGGCATATCATCACTGGTACTAGCAATCAGTCTCAAACACTTCCTAGCCGTGTGACTCTGGGTAAGTCCTTTAACCTCTGTTTGCCTCAGTTTCCTCATCTGTAAAAGGGGGATAATAATAGCACCTACCTCTCAGGGTTGTTGTGAGGATCAGAGGAGATAACATTTGTATAATGTTTACTTAGGATCTAGTAGGGGGCTATATAAATGTTATTGCTATTGTAGTTGTTGTTATTATTACATTTTGGAGTGATCTTTCACTCTTTCCTCTCCTCCCTTCATATCCATTCTGCCATCGAGTTCTATTGAGCCTTCCTTTACCATATCTTTCTCATTTGCCTGCAAATTTTCATTCTTGCATCACCATCATAGCATAGGCCCTCACCACTTGTTTAAATCTCAAGGGCCATCTAAGGTCTGCTGTGTTTTACATCTAGGTTATCATAATACCCTGATAATTAGTCTCTCAGCCCCCAATCTCTCTTCCTTCTAGCCCCCTCAATCATCCTCAACACTGAGGAAAGACCAATCATCTTAAAATACTACTTTTCACATGTCATATGTAACACTCCTGCTCACAAATCTTCAGTGGCTCCCTATTACCTATAAAAGAGAAAGCCCACACTTTTCTCACTTTGATTTAAGGCTCTTTATAATCTAACTCCTGTCTACTTCTGCAAATCATTTCCCATTATTCTTTTGCACAATTGATAGGATGATAGATTTAGAATTGGAAGAGATCTTCAAGGCCATTTAATCTAACTTGTTTCATTTTACAGATGAGGAAACAGGGTCAGAGATATTAAGGGAGTTGCCCAAAGTCACACAGCTAATAAAGTTGCTGAGCTGGGATTTGAACCAAGTTTCTCTGAATCTAAATGTACAGCTGTCCAATGTGCCCTTATGCCTTCCATTTCAATTCAACAAAACATTTATTAAGTGTCTTTTATGTACAGAGGAAGCTGGGTTTAGTGTAAAGAAAGATGACCTTTGAGTCAGTAAACCCTGACACATAGTCCCATCTCTGACTCATGCTGGCTGCGTGACTCTGGGCCAGTCACTTAACTTTTTATCCTCCATGCAACTTTTGAAGACTGAAAGTTGCAGAGCAGTTGGTATATATATATATATATATATATATATATGTGTGTGTGTGTGTGTGTGTGTGTGTGTGTCATGCAGAACAAATACACACACACAGTCCTCTGAAAGTTTTGGTGCAGTTTTAAGCTTTAGTAAGCTTGATTTTTTTTAAAAAAAAATTAATTTTTAATTAATCATTTTCTGAGCTTTAACAAACTTAAAACTGCACCAAAACTTTTGGGCATCCTGTATACATGTACATATATGCACATATATCTATATGTGATCTATCTATCTATCCATCTATCTATCTATCTATCTATCTATCTATCTATCTATCTATCTATCTATCCACACAGAGCTAGGCGCTAATTAGTGAGAATAATGAATCCTATAAAGTGGTGCCATTATTTGAATTTGTACTGTATATTCCTTTTGGGCTAGAACCAATTGCCATATTTTACATAATTCAAAGAGTGAAAATTTGAAAACTTGATCGCTTCATGGGATTCATTATTTGCACTAATTGGGACCTAAGATTTTTGGAATACCCTGTTTGTGTATACACAGATCTAGATATGATTTGTGTATTTATATATATGCAGCTAGGTCAATTACCCTATTTTACTCATTATAACTTTAAAGACTCCACATTTGAATACATGTGACCTCTTTATGGATCCATTATTTACACTAATAGGGACCCAAGACTTTTGGGATACTCTGTATATGTATACATAGATTGAGATATAATCTATATATCTATATGTGCAGTGAGGTCAATCACTCTATTTTGCGCATTGTAACTTTGAAGAGTGTAAATTTGAATACATGGGACCACTTCATGGAATTCATGATTTGAATTCACTGGGGCTTGCCGAAGGTCACACAGTAAATGTCTGAGGCTGGATTTGAACTTAGGTCTCCCTGACTCCAGGCCTGGTGCTCTATTCACTATGCCACCTAGCTGCCCACTATTTTAAAAGAGGCAAGCTGAAGACTGGATGATCTAAGTAGAGCTTGAGACTCATAAAGCTCTTCTGTTATAGTCAGTGGTAGTCAGATTTTTACTGTGTCTTGTGCTCAGTTTTGGGTTCCCCCACTAAAGAGGGACATGGAAATCTTGGAAAAGCTTCAGAAGAGAGCCAAGATGATTAAAGGTTTAGAGAATATAGCAGTGCTGTCCTTTTGTGTGTTAACAGCTAAGGACCAAACAGCCAACTCTGCAGGGAAGAAAAATTAGCAAATTAATGAATCAGGATTGTGTTTATACTGGTCCTAAGAAAGGCAGTCACTTGTTCACTTAAGTAAGATGCTCTGCCTTTCTTATAGATGTTGGTTGCTGAAAGCCTGGGTCCTTGCTGTGAAATAAGCTATCAAATTGATACCACCCCCTGGAAATACAAACACATTATCATTTACCCAGGAAATAATGGCTTCAGTGAAATTATTAAACAATAATTGGCCTTGATGACAGAAGTGTAAAAAGGATCCTGATTAATGACTTTACCAATTGTTCTTCTATTGCTAACATTTGCCAAGAGAACATAAGATTATAGGATCATAGATTTAGAGCTGGAGGGGACTCAGAGGTTATCTAGTCCAATCCCCCCACTTTGTTGATGAGATTAAAGACAGAATTATTTAGTATGGAGAAGAGTTGAACCCCTGTCTTTAACTATATGAAAGGCAACTCTTAGAGCAGTGGTAATCAAAAGGTGGTCCCAGGATTCCTGGGAGTCCCAAAGACCCTTTCAGGGGCTTCATGAGGTCAAAAATATTCTCCAAAAATACTAAGGTATTTAAATGTCTAATAACATATACACATAACTCACATAAACTCTTTGGGGGATCCCTGATAATTTTTAAGAGTGTTAAGACCAGAAGTTTGAGGACCAATATCAGAGAATGATGGATCAGTTTCAATAATGATTTTTATATTAGCAATTAATATTGTTATTATGCATATTAAAGTTTGCAAAGCAATTTTCTCAAAAAAACTCCTGTGAGGTAAGCAGGGAAAGTATTCTTATCTTCATTTATAGAAGAAGAAACTAAGTAATTCACCAAGGTCACACATCTAAGCAAGTATATAAGCCATGATTTGAATCTAGGTCTGCTAGACTGAGATTTTCTCCACTAGATTGTGCTGCCTATCTCTTTGAACCAGCTACTAATTGCCTCACATTAAGGTGATGTTGTGGCTTCCCAGGCTGGAGACTGGAGGGAAGATCAAGGGCTTCATCCTACCTGGTCAAGGCCAGTGATGTCTTTGGAAAGGCGTCGGACTTTGCTCTCTAGGTTCACAATGCAGGCTTCCTTCCGGACCATCTCAATCCTCAGTTCATCGTTTTTCTCCTCCAGCTCTCGGATCTGCTTTCTGTACTTGTCCTTCTCAATCAAGCATTGGGAATACTGTGTCTGTGCTTCATCACGAGAGTGGAATGCCTACCATGGACAAGGAAATGTGGCCACCTGGGTTAGTCACATGGTTCAAACCAAATTGAATCCCAAATATTCTCTGACCTCCAGTTAGGAGGACCTCTTTTTCCTCATTTTTCCAGCTGGAAACCATGACTATAGCTGGTATCAAAGCTATCCAGATGGTCTTCACCATCATTCTTTGATCATCTTAGCTGTAATTATAGCTTTTTCTCTTCTCCACTAACTTAAAAACTTCATCTTTCCTCCTAGTTTTTCCCATCCTTAAATCTGAACGGTCAGGGCCTTAACCCAGTATATTGAAAACTCCAGGTAGCAGTCAATTCAGAAAGTCTCCTGAGTAGAAAAATATAATTTAGGCATAGAAAGAAGTGATAGAGATTTACTATTATCTACCACTTAGCCACTTATTACCACTTAGTAACACTGCACTGACCAAACCCCATGATGGAAACCAATGGTCTACGTAATGAGGGTGATGACTCCTTTGGTCCCATTACACATAATTCTGAGGTCAGTACATCCAACCCGTGCTGGAAATGGAACTCTTGAGTCATCAGCCACCCCTTTCTCTCTGGAAATGTTGCTGTGGCAGGTACCTGGTCTCGTTCTTTCTCCACTTCTTCTAGTTGTATCATCACAGTATTCATTCGGTGTTTATACATATCACAGTCTTTCCCCAGAGTGGAGCACTTCAGTTCCAGATCTTCTTTCTCTTCCAAGTACTATGAGAAGGACATGAGGAAATTGATAAACTCATTAAATAATCAATAGCTCATAACTGACAAGAGTTTCCTAGTTTCTCCTCCTCTAAGAGTGGTAGAGTCCACTGCTCTTAGCTCAATTGGTGCTAACCAGATGTTGTAATTCAGAGGTTTAGAGATTTGGATCTGCAAGGGATGTTACAAGACATCTAGCTGAACTCCCTCATTTTACAGCTGAGGAAACTGAGGCCCAGAGTAGTAAAGTGTGGTTCAGATCCTACTGTATATCAGAAAGTAACCACACATACTGCACATGTCACCTCTGCCTCTCTTGAATCCAATTCATGTGCAAATTAAGATATCAACCTCATGATGGCATTGGTCTTTGAGAATGAAAGACAGAATTACAAATTAAGATCTAGAAGGGACTTTAAAGGACATCTATTTCAACCCATTCATTTTGCAAAGGAGGACACACTTAGGCCTAAAGAGGTTAAGTGATTTGCTTAAAGCCAAAGACAGTCGCTGGAAATTTAACCCTCTGAATCCAAAGCCATCCTTTTTGCATTACAACAATCTGGCCTCTTTGGCTAAAAGGAACAGGATTGAGGGAACTATCCTCATCTCAGGTAAATGGGACAGATCCAGGTACCAAACACATATGCAAAAAGGTTTATCAAGGCAAATCAGATGAAATTGTACCTCACTAGGGGAATGGCCATCCCCCATTTGCCCAACTACAGTGCAGCATGAGAAGCCCCTGAAGACTCTGGGCTCCTTCCTAGCTGGTTCCCTCCTTCTCTAGTTCCCACCTTGTCTCTTAGCTCCTCAGCCTGACGCATCTCTTCCTGCAGGTTATAAATCTTGTTGACCAGCTCCTGTCTATCTTCCAGAGCCTCTTTCCGGTCATGTTCCAGGATATCCAAAATAGCCTTGTCTGAGTCTGGCAGGCTGCGTTTTCCAGCCTGGAAAGAAGAAAGAAGGCTTTAAAGCTGTAGGTGGGGTAAGTGAAATGGAACAGGAACGAAGTGAGAACAAGAAGGAATGACAGGTATAAAGACAGCCTGGTTTGTAATGGGGAAAGTGAGGAAGGAGGAGAAGTCTCTGGGGATCTCTAAGAAGCTTATCACTTAAGAAGTTTATCACCTGGAAAGGCGAATGAAACCCACCTCTTCTCAGGAATATCTTGACTCCCACTGTTCTGCTCTGGTTCTTACCGAGAGCTGACAGAAGCAGTGAAACATTCTGCAGGCAACAACAATGAGAAAGCAGATCTGCCTTCCAGACTTTACATCTGAAATATCAATTAATCTGCCCTGTTTTAACCCAGTATTCATCTTCCGCCAGGAGGAAAAAATTAAAACATTGGCTAGGCAATGGGGAACAAGACAGTACACATTTCCCCCACTTCTGTTATGGGTAATTTAGGGGGATGAATTTATTTGGTTTATAACTCATGCGCCCACCAACGTCATAAAATCATAGACTCTTGAGCTCAATGGGATATTAAAGGGCATCTACTCTCTCCCCTATCTGAAATATGAATCCTCCCAACGATATCTCTGACAAGTGATCATTAAGCCAAGGAATTCTTAAACAGTTTTGTGTTATAGGATACTCTTAGCAATCTGGACCCCTTCTCAGAATAATGATTTTACATGCGTAAAATACAAAGGAAAACAATTATATTGAAACAGAGTTATCAAAATGTAAAAAAAAAATCCCAGGCCCCAGGTTAAGAATCCTTGATCTAGTCTTTGCTTAAATACTTCCAGGAACAGAAAGCTTACTACTTAGAAGAGGTGCCCATTTCAATTTTGTATAGCTCCGTTAAGAAGTTCTTTCTCATTTTGAGTTGAAATCTTCCAAACAATTAATGATAGGTCTGTCCTCTGGAGCTCTATAGACTCAAACTAATTCTTCTTCCATGTGCCAACCAGTATTCCAGTATTTGAATAAGAGTACTATATAGCTCTCAAATCTTTTCTTCTCCAGACTATGGTTTTGAGTCCCTTCATCACCTTGTTTGACTTTTTTTAAAAAATGCAATTGGGGTTAAATGACTTGCCCAGGGTCACACAGCTGCTAAGTGTCTCAGGCTGGATTTGAACTCAGGCCCTCCTGACTCCAGGGCTGGTGCATTATCCACTGTGCCACATAGCTACCCCTCTTAGCTGCCTTCTTAAGAACACTGTATGATTTGTTAATGCCCCTCTTAAAAATGAGCTATGTAATTGAACATAATAGTTTCCCTGGTTTCCTTCAAGACTCAGCTCAAATCCCACCTTCTACAGGAGGTCTTTTCTGGTCCTCCCAGGTACTAGTACTGTTCCCTATCAGATTACCTTCTATTTATTCTGAATTTATCTTGCATGTACCTAGTTAGTTATGTGCTGTCTTCCCCATTAGAACTTCTTGAGGGAGGGATATTGTTTGCCCTTTTTATGCATCCACAATGTTTAACATAGTGCCTGGCACATTGTAGAACCCCTAATAAATGTTTGTTGACTGATTGAATGATATTCCAAATGTGGTCTGACCAGTATGGAATACAATAGGATTATGGCTTATATTTTTCTGAGCAGAGAGAGAGAGAGAGAGAGAGAGAGAGAATATATGCATGTGTACGTGTGCAGAGCTTGTGATTTCATCGATGTAGAGAACTGTCAGAGTGGAAACTCTCCACCAATGCAAATCAGAACATCATTTACAGCTTATAATCTTTCTTGCCCATGATCGTATCAGAGGCAAGACTTGAACTTGGGTCCTTCTGACTCCCAATTCAGCTCTTTCCACTCCACCATGCTGTATTTTGGGCACTATAAATCTATTAATTCAGCCCAATATAGTCATATCATACTGTCATATTGAGACCCTTAAGTTTTTTTTTGACATAAATTACTATTAAGCTAGGTAATCTGTCTCTCCTCCTCCCTGCAACTTCTGTATTTTGTAGCAATTTTTGGAGCCAAAATTCAGGGTTTTACATTTATCCTCCATTAAATTTCATCTTAAAATCTAATTCATATCAGCAATCACTTATTAAGCACCCATTATCTTCAAATCACTGGACTAAGTGCTGAGGAAAAGTGAAGGTATCTACCATCAAGAAACTTCCATTCTACTGTTAGTTTTGACTTAGCCTATCAAGCCTTGAGCCTATCAAGATAATTTTGAATCCAGATGCTTTTATATGATATACTGGCTATCCTTCTCAGCTTTGTGTAATTTACAGATCTGATACCTTCTATGTCTTAGCCTAAGTTATTAAAACGTTGAATGGGACTCGGCCAAGGAAAGAGCCTAATGGCAAAGCATTAGAGACTTCCTTCCTCTTGGGTTGACATCGATGCAACAAGCAAAACATTTTTGGGCATGGTTATTTAACCATGAGAGACAGTGTGGTGTAGTGGATACAGAGTGGTCTTCAAAACCAGAAAGACTTGGGTTCACAGGCCGCTTTGACTGTGTGATAATTGTCTGGGCAAGTCACCTTGGTGCTCTAAGCTATACTCTACGGCTATAAATTCATCAGGAGATAGTAGAGGGATGTTCACCAACAGAGTCAGTCCAAACTCAATCTCTATTCAACCATATGCATCATATAGCTTTCATTTCCCCATTTTGTCCTTGAAGTCATAATGAAATATGTGGTCAAATGTTTTGTTACAATGCAGCATTTTTCAGATCTAGCATCTCAAAAAAAGGAAATAAGGTTAGTTTGGCATGATTTGTTTTTACTAAACAAACGCCAGTCCCTGTTTTCTTTCAAAGGATTCACAAGCCCATCTCTTTTAGGATTTTCATGGCAACTGAAATTGAGCCTCTCATTCTGTAGGCCTCAGAATTAAACTTTTTTTTGAAAAGTGATGTAGACTGACCAATATTGGAGACCGGATGTGGTTATAATAAACAAACCTACTGTCTATTTATCTACATACCTATTCATATAAGCATGGTAAGCTTTAATAGCTTAAAACTGCATAAGTTTTTCAGAATATCCTATATATGCACATGTAATATATATATATATATATATATATATATATATATATATATATATATATATATATATATATATACACGCACACATTCACTTACAGCCATACACCTAAGTATATATACACATACATGCATATGTATGTTTGCATGGGTATACTCATAATACATATGATACCTGCATAATACCTGCACACATGCATATACAATCTGAAGTTGTTCAAACCCTGAAGGACAAGTTTATTTCCCTAATGTGCTTTCTATATTATCTAGTACTGGTTTTCCTTGGAAGATTACCACCAACGGTACTCACCTGAATAATCGACTGTAACTCCTGGATTTTTGTCTTCAGCATTTCATTCTCTCTCTCCAGTTCCAGAACCTGCTCCTTCTTGGGCCGATTTTCTATGTCGTTCTTAAGTTTAAGCGACTGATTTCTCTCCAGCTTGCATTCCTCCTCCATCTTATTTAAACGGTGCTTCAGTTGGTCAATCTGGGACACCCCCAAGAAGCCAGGGAGAAAACAAAGTGGTCAAGAAACCATGAGTGATACACAAAACACTGACGTACAAACCCTCACGTACGACCGGCCTGCAAACCAACTACCTGTGTTAATACGGTTCTTCTTACACAGGCCCCTTCACTGTCTCCATAGGAATGGGAGTCCTCTCTTCACGAATAAGCTTGTACCTTCACCCTTTCCAGTTAAGCAGGTCCAAATGGCCTTGGCAGGTGGCACATTCTTGACCAATACGCATTGAGAACAGGACACCAACGCTTTCTGCAGGTCTCTTTATAATACACAATTCATATAACTGAATTCTGCTCTAGCCTCTCTACTGTCAACTTGCCTCTCAGGAAAATACAGTCAGGCAGTCAGCCAACAAGAATTTACCAGTGTGTCTGGCACTGTACTAAGTACTAGTGATAAAAAAAAAAGACAGAAAGAAAGAAAGGAAGAAAGAAAGAAAGAAAGAAAGGAAAGAAAGAAAGGAAGGAAGAAAGAAAGGAAAGAAGGAAGAAAGAAAGAAAGAAAGAAGAAAGAAAGAAAAAAGAAAGAAAGAAAGAAAGAAAGAAAGAAGAAAGAAAGAAAGAAAGGAAGGAAGGAAAAGAAGGAAAGAAAGAAATAAAAGAAAGAAAGAAAGAAAGAAAAAGAAAGAGAAAGGAAGAAAAAGGAAGGAAGGAAGGAAGGAAGGAAGGAAGGAAGAAAGAAAGAAAGAAAGAAAGAAAGAAAGAAAGAAAGAAAGAAAGAAAGAAAGAAAGGAAGAAAGAAAGGAAGAAAGAAAGAAAGAAAGAAAGAAAAGAAAGGAAGAAAGAAAGGAAGAAAGGAAGAAAGAAAGGAAGAAAGAAAGGAAAGAAAGAAAAAGAAAGGAAGAAAGAAAGAAAGGAAGAAAGAAAGGAAGAAAGAAAGGAAGAAAGAAAGGAAAGAAAGAAAAAGAAAGGAAGAAAGAAAGAAAGGAAGAAAGAAAGAAAAGAAAGAAAGAAAGAAAGAAAGAAAGAAAGAAAGAAAGAAAGAAAGAAAGAAAGAAAGAAAGAAAGAAAAGTGAAAACAGTCCCTGCCTTCGGGGAGCTCACACTCTAATAGGATAGAGAAACATAAAAATAACTAGACATAGGACAGGCTTAGTACAGGATAGTTTACGTGGCAATTTCATAGAACACTTTGTCAGGATCAGAATAAAACCTTTCCTTTTCATTCAAGGTAGAAAAATTTCTATTCCCTTCTCATTCCCCACTCATGAGGTCACAGGGTTATAGGTCATAACATCACAAGACCTAGAGCTGGAAGAAACTTTAGGAGTCATCTAGCCTAATTCTTTGCTTTTTCAGAGGAGGAAACTGAGACCTATGAAGGTGAAGTAATTTGTCTGAGATAATACAGGTAATAAGTGGAAGAAGTGGGATTTGAACCCAGATCCTTCAACTCCAGCTAGCGCTCTTTCTAGGGCACCACAAAATATAAACTCCTCCTTGGTAGCACATACCTACACAGGGCTGTATTGACCATGAGCCCTGATGTGAGCAGCTGAGCACACAGAAAGATGGATTTAGAGTGAGAAGGAACGTTAAGGGTCATCTAATCTCATTTTATAGGTGAAAAAAACTCAGACCCAGAGAGGAAAATGACTCGTGCAAGATCACACAGAGAGTAAGCAGTAGAACTGGATTTGAACCTAGGAACCCTAAATCTAAAGACAGCCTCTTTCCATTCAACCAAAGTGCCTGCCATGGTGAAGTTTCCTTAGCTCATCAAGCAGAATGTAAAAGTAGCAGCTGTATCCTACCACCGTCGCTGTGCTCTTAACTTAAACCCAGCCTCAGGTGTATCTCACCTCCAACTGGAGATCTCGGCTCCTCATCACTGCCATGTTCTTCTCTTCACTTAGCTGGGCATAGCGCATTGCCAAGTTGTAGTTGTCATCCTTCACCTTGATCAGCTCATCATTGTAGTTGTCTCTCTCCTCCTTCATCTTATGGTATCTCTCCTGGAAAGTCATTAGCTCCACCCGGGTCAGAGTCAGCTGTTTCTTTTCATCTTCCAACTGGCGGGACTTGGCCAGGAGCTCACAACGCTGCACATCCTTGGCCTTCATTTGCTGCTGCAGCTTGATAACCTCATTCATCAGGAAGTGAGTAAGGCCTTCATGGCCTTCCTCCACTGGAGAAAAGGGAAAAGACAGCATGTAATTTTCTAAGGCCCAGAGGAGGATGCAGCATGGGAGATAGCAGAGAATACTCTCTCTCTCTCTCTGTTTCTCTCTGTCTCTCTCTCCTCCTCTCTCCACTGCTCTCCCCTATATACCTACCTACCTTCTACCTCTCTGTTTATCTATATCTATATCTATATCTATCTGTCTGTCTGTCTGTCTGTCTAATGAAGGGATGAAAACAGCAAGTGAACTACACTGACTCCATTTTGTGACTCAATTCTGGAGTTAGCTCAGTTCCTTTTTCTATTGAATTATGAGTCTAGTCCAGTTTCTGTCCTGTGAGAAAACTATATTCAATTGTGGGAATTGTGATAAAACTTTATTACATTGTTTGAATCTAGCTCTGCATGGCTGGGAAGCTGGACCACTTCTACTTGCTGCTTAGAAACCCTTAACTCAGAGCCTTGGTTATACTGACCAGAAAACCTGGTTAGATATAAAGATTGAGACAAGGAGTTTTATATATCTCAGCAAACCATATGTTTTACCTGAAAACTGGCCTCATATTGGTCAATCAATTACTGTTTCTGTGTTCCTTTGATTGAATACAGACACTTGAGGGGAGTAGGACACCTCTTTTTCTGATTTCAGAGAAATGAATTTATTTGTTCTTCCCCTGCCAACTTGGAAAGGCCCTAATCTTTCCTCTATTTAGAAATCATATTAACTAAATTTGTATGCTGTTTAATTGCTTTCTTTTAATTAATTGGTCTTGTTTAATTGTTTTTAATGTATAAAAATCTGTCTCTCCCTGTATTTGGGGTGCAACCTTAAGCTGAGGAGGTCTAGTCCCAGTTTGTCAGGCAACTGGCACGCGTTGCTCAAGAAATCAATATGCCTGGAAGTTCTAACCTTTGTTTCCTCAGTCATTTCATCTTTCACCTATCTATTTTTCTATCTCTCTATCTCTGTCTCTCTGCCTGTCTACTTATCTATCTGTCTGTCTATATCTATCTAGATACAGATATATCAATATCTATCTATATCTACCTATTTCTATCTGTCTATCTAGATAGACACAGATATATTGATATCTATCTTTATCTACCTATTTCTATCTATCTATCATCTGTCTGTCTATCTATTATCTCTCTCTCTCTCTCTTTCTCTCTCTCTCCCTGTCTGCTTGTCTATCTACCTAAATAAATGCAGATATATCAATATCTATTTGCCTTTTTTTTATCCATCTATCTAGATAGATACAGATATATCAATATCTATCTAATCTATCTATCTATCTATCTATCTATCTATCTATCTATCTATCTATCTATCTATCATCCATCTCTGTCTATCTACCCATTTGCTTGTCTGTCTATCTGTCTGTGTCTATCTATATTTATCTAGAGAGATACAGATATATTGATATCTATCTGTATCTACCTACCTACATCTATATCAATATTTATGCATCTATGTATCTATGTATCTATCTATCTTCTCTGCCTGTCTATCTTTGGGGCACGGAGAGGTGAATTACCATCACTACAGGGCTTGACCTTGATGCTGAGGGGATGATTTTCAGGTCTTAGATGATGAAGCATACTCCCATTCTACCCCCTAGATTAAAGAATCTTAGAATTTTAGAGCTCAAAGGGATCTGAGAAGTCATATAATATTACCTCATTTTCCAAATGAGAAAAATGAGACTCAGAGAGGCGAGCGATTTATCCAAGGTCACATAGATAATTAGTTTTATGTTTCCTGATTACAAGCTTAGAATTCTTTACACCGTCCCATGCTGCTGGTGCAGATACCTCGTGACCAATTAATGCTCCACGAACATCCTACTTCGTTATGCCTTTGTTTTTAATTCCTAGCACCTAATTTCTATCAATATTTGCAAATAAGTGGCTAACAGGGTTGGAGTTCCTGTCTCTGAGCTGACTTGCCCCATCACAGTTCTACATATTCATTATTCCCTCCATAAGTCTGTCAGAGCTTCATAGCCTTGCAGACAGATAGAGTGCACTGGAATTATTGCTCCTCTATAGACACATGCATTTTTGCCCCCACTGACGGAGCCTGAATGCCACTCACCCACAATGGTAGAAAACCTTCGGGTGGGCTCCTTCCCTGTCACCAGCTTATAGAGTTCTGGATAATAAAACTCCAGGCTCTCCAGGAACACCACATATCCTCTTTCTCCTTTGGTATGAAGAATGTCCAATAGTCGGCCTGAGACAAACAATATGATGACAAAAGACATAGAAGCAATGAGACCACATTCTATAGTTAGTCAGTCCACAAAATTTTATTAAGTGCCTACTATATGCCAGGTACTGTGCTAAGAAATGGGAAAGAAAAAGAGGCAAAAGGCGGTCCCTGACCTCAACGAGCTCACAATCTAATGGGGGAGATAATAAGCAAACAAATATGGACAAACTTTATATAGGAAAAATAGCAAACAATAGAGGGAAGAGAGGTTGGGAGATGCTTCCAGTAGAAGGTGGGATTTTAGTTGAGAAGTGAAGGGATCCAGGGATGCCAGGGGTGGAGACGAGGAGGGAGAGCATTCCAGGCATAGGGGACAGTCAGAGAAGATGCCCAGTGCAGAGATGGAGTGTCTTGTTTGAGAAGGCTGATGTCACTGTATCAAAGAGTATGTGGCAGGAAGTAAGGCATAAGAAGACTGGAAAGGCAGGGGGGCAGGGACTAAGTTATGAAGATATTTGAATGCCAAACATCTGGATCCCCCTTGATCTGGCTCCAACAGTGCTTGAAAGATTACAAAGCACTTTACATATATTATTTCATTTTCTCTTCACGATAGCCCTGTGAGGTAGGTCCTATTATTACCCTCATGTTGCAGATGAAGAAACTGAGTCAGAGAGAGGTCATGTGACTTGTGTGGAATCACATAGCTAAGAAATGTTTAAGGCAGGGCTTGAACTTGGATGTCCCTGACTCCAAGTGCTGTAGCCAATCAACTAGCTCCCTCTTCACATAGGAAAACTGTGCTGGCAAATTTTACTACTTTTGAGTTTTTCCAAAAACTCCAGACAACTGCTCTCAAAGGTTACTCAAGAGAAGTGAAGCAAATGGACTTGGATGTCTGGAAAGCAACATAAGCAGTGTGACTCCCCAGTGGACTAAAGATACCAGATGAAGGAGAGGACTACTATGATATAGCTTCTGATTCTCTGGGAAAGGGGAGGAAAAATGATGAGTATATTGGATGAGGAGTATGTGTATGGGAGATAAGCATGCATGCATGCATATATTTTGTGTGACTATCATGCTGGTTAGCTTTTCCAAGAAAAATTTAAACGTAGGGAGAGAGGGAGGTTTTGTGCTAGCCAGAATATTGCACAAAACGAGGGCCTTTTTCATTCTGCAGATGTATCTACATAATAAAGGCAAGATGGTGGGCCAATAGAGTAGAATGTGATAACTTTGCTTCCCCTGGTCTTTTTTTTTTTTTTGCTCAACCTCATTTGCATGCCAGTCAATAAGGATCTTCAGAGGAAGCTGGATTACATAATCTCAATTTATAAATATCTTCTGTATTTTGGGAGGTTAGGGTTTGCTTTTTTGGGGGGAGGCAGGTGGACAGGGAAGAATATAGAATACTATAAGTTGTTAATAGGCTTAATAACAGATTTTCTAATCCTAAATTAGGTAGTTATATGGGACAAAGGGCTTCAAATTAGCAATGAACATAGAATGTCAAAAGAATAGACAATTTTTGTCTGGAACATTCTGACTGGTTTCTATTTGGCTTCCCTCTACTGAGTATAATATCTAATAACTTTGGCTATGGAGTAGATACCTATTACCTCATCCTTATCAAGGAGAGGCTTTCTAGTTTTCATGACTAAGAGGGCCCACAAATGAGAAGGAATTCACCAGGTACTCTATAAAACTAAATGAAATGATCTACAAATAGTTTCCAAATTTTATCTCCCAAAGATGTTAACTGTTAGCTAACACACCCTTTGACATTTCACACACGTTTTCCTTCCCTTCATGTTCCATAATCCTTACCCTATCCTCTAATATATTCTCCCACTCCTAACTTACCTGTGGCTTTCTCTCCTCAGTATTATCTTCTCCTATCAAGGAGAACCACATTGGAGGATGCCTGGCGTACCCTAACCTTACTTTGGGAAAACCAACCAACAGCTTCAGCTAGACTTTCCCTCCCCCATCCCTGTGATGTCTGGGAAAGAGGTTACCTGATCGGTTGATCTTGGAAGGCAGCATGGGAGCACTGAGCACTTCATCTTCATCCTGTTCATCGATGACCTTACACTGGCGCAGGTAAGGGGTCAGCTTGGCTGGGTTGATGTATCGGCTTAGCATATGGCGGTTACACTCCACATTTTCCCAAAGGGCATCTTCTTCATCCTTTAGCGTCTCCATGTAGTCACCCATCTCTGGCTCCCCTCCTTTCACACACAAACACATGTACATAGACACACAAAACACCAGTAATCATAATTAAAATACACAGAGAACACCCATTTAACTGGTGTGAGTCTGACTGGACCAGTGGGCTAAGTGGATTAAATACAGCACCATTGAAACCCAAGGTCATGGTTCATTTTCATTTGATTCAGTGACCATTGCGCAGAATACTGATGCCTGGATGCAGGCTGAATTCCAGCCTCTCTCGGGATGCTTATAGTTCAGTCAGAAGCTCCCTGGAAGAGTGGATAATGTACTAGACTGGAAATCTGGAAGATCTGAGTTTGAATTCTTCCTCCGACACTTATTAGCTATGTGTCTTTGGGTAACTTACCTCTCTGAGCCTCAGTTTCCTCACTCGTAAAATAGGAATAATAATACCTGAAGTATCTATCTCACAAGTGTGTTAGGAGACTTAAAGGAAATAGTGTAAAGCACTTTGTAAACTTTGAAGCATTAGACAGGGTCTCCTAAAATTTGAAAGCTATGAAAGCTTTAAAATGCACTAAGGCTTTTGGGACAGTATATAAATGTCAAATATTTAGCCACTGGGACCACTCACAGTAGTCTGCTGGCAGTAAATACATTTCATCACTTTCATATAAAAAAAGATAGTTCAAAAAACTTTATTTTTAATGGACCTACATTCTGAGAAAATTCAATTCAAGGAAGATTTCTTGAATACCTATCCACATATATACATATGTGTATATACATATATGTTCACATATACAGATATCTATACATATATGCATGCAATGTACACATACACATGTGTATGGATATATGTACATGTATATATCTGCACACACACATACACACACACACACACACACACACACACACACACACACACACACACACACAAAGCTATGTGGCACAGTGGATAGAGTGCCAGGCCTCGAGTCAGGAGGACTCATCTTTGTGAGTTCAAATCTGGCCTCAGTGACTTATTAGCTATGTGACCCTGGGCATGTCACTTAACACTGTTTACTTCATTCCAGTATTTTTGCCAAGAAAACCCCAAACGGGGTCAAGAAGAGTTGGAAATGACTGAAATGACTGAAGAACAATAACTATATCTATATCTATATATACACACATATACAGTACATCTATGTATATATACATATATGCATACATGTATGCACAATTATATGTACACAATGTACATGTAGATGTACATATACACATACATATGTACATATACATATGCACACACAAATGTAATCCGTACAAAATCCTATATGGTTGCTATGGAAGAAACAAGAAACATGGTCTTTGCCCTGAAGGATCTCAAGATTTAACTTATAAAACAGTTGAACAATACAAGGCAGTTTGACCAATGGACCCACTCTAGATGAGTTAAGTTATTTACAGTGACCTTCGCTTGCAATGTAGGCTTGTATTTTTCAAATGTAAGTGCTCCTTTCAGGTGTGCTTGGTGAAAGAGGTTGTTCTGGGGTGGGGGGAGTATTAAAGCTGCTTCTTTCCAAAGCACTTTGACCAACTTGGGCATGAATCAATGTTAGTTTTGGCTCCTGAACAAGACCAATGTTAACACTGAGAATTTCAGCATGCAAGGAGAAAAGGAAGGTGAAGTAGGAAAAAAGGAGATTTGTAAGATTTAGTGCTAGAAGGCACCTCAGTGATCATTTAGTCCAATCCCCTCAGCTTTTATAGATGAGGAAACTGAGACTCAAAGAAATTAAGTAACTTGCCCAACGTCACACAGGCAGCCAAGGTGGAATTTAAGCCCTGTCCTCTGACTCCAGTTCAGTGGAGCTATTTCTGTGTACCATAGTACTTCCTTCAGAAAAATGAGCCTTTCCTAAGGTAAAGAATGGAGTTCTTTGCCATATCCCTCTATTTAAATCTATTCTTTTCTTCAACTTCTGATTTTACTCACCAATAGAATGAAAGCTTTTTACTGACAGGGACTATTCACCTCTTGATCTTATCTGACTTCTCTGAAAGGCATGGCAGATAGAGCCTTGGAGCTGGGAAGACTTGGGTTTGTGTTCCACTTCTGATAAATACTCACCCTCTCTCAGTCTTGGTTCCCTAATCTTACAGATTAGTGAACATGACCTACTTCATAAGGATATGGTGAGGCTCAAATGAGATAGCATATGTAAAGGGCTTTGAAAAACTTTAAAGCTTTCTATAAACACTAGTTATCATTTTACATGTAGGCTGCGTGACCTTGGACAAGCCCCCACACCTCTTGCTATCCCAGGCTAGTGGTCAAACTCAAATAGAAATGGATCCCTGCTGTCTCATATTAACTTAGAAAATCACAAATCAGCATTATCTATTTTGTATTGTATTTTTATTCAGTTTGTTAAACATTTCTCAACACATTAGCAGGCTGGTAGTTTTGCAGGCAATTCTTTCATGCCATAATGTGCAGAATTTTGGAAGGAGTTTCTTTTCCCAATGAGATCACAGACTCAGATTTTAAGAAATCCCTAGCACCCAGTACATTGCCTGGCACATAGTAGGCATGTGATAAATACATGTTGCATTGAACTGAATGACAATGCTTAGCACAATGCTAGGCATATAACCAACATGTAATAAATACTTGTTAAATTGGTTTTTTTAAACCTGTGTATTTAATGAGTACCCCACTCATCATAAGACACTATTCATATTTGTGTCAATGTGCACAGACTGGAAGTGGCATCAGAATGCCAGTATAAGGATGCCAACTCAGTGCAACTTCTGTAAGCTAAAAGGCACATCTGTTATAATCTGGACTGGCAGAGAGACTGATGCAACTTGAAAACCAAGAGAGTAGATACCTATGTCATTTGTCTGTCATTTTAAAAGGACTCTCTGGCTAAGTAGATCTTAATAAAAACAACAAAAATTCAAGACGCACCTTGAAAGGTACTTCCCTCTCCCCGGGGGTATCTGATCCCCCCGCCCACTTCACCATAACTCAATCTGACTCAGGTCTCCCTGTCATGTGGGATGAACCTACTGGTCCATCTCAGTCATGGGGAGGCTTCTCTGTTGGAAAACAGTTTGTGCAGAAAGGCTACCTGTCCACAGCTCATCTGAGAGGTGTCAGCCCTGAAAGTTGATCTCTAGAATGTGAATTACCAGCATTGGCTGCCCTTGGGTGAGGAAATATTACAGGGATGGCTTTACAGACTTCTCTGCATTTAGGATGGTCTCTATCCAGCCAGAATTTTTTCTCAGGGCTCTGTTTGTACTTAACAGGAAAGAGGGCAGAGGTGGAAACAGATGTAAAGACAAGGATGTGACAATGAGTCCATCAAGGGATGCCCTTGGAGTCGGGATTTCATAGACTCACAGATCTAAAGCTGAAAGAGACTGAAGAGGTCATCTAAATAGTCCAACCTCCATTTAAGAAATGATGAAAATAAGGTTAGGGAAGTTAAAGGGCTGCCCAAGGTCATAGAGGTAACAAACATCAGAAGCCAGACTTGAACCCAGTGCCCCTTTCTTCAGAGCAGGCATTCTTGCCACTGTTCCACACTTCCTCCTCAAATATCACCCAGACACTCAATGGTTTTGTGATCACTTCACCTGTCTAGGCATCAACTTCCCCAACTGTAAAATGGGATGATAAACTTACACTTCCTACCTCATAGCATTGTTGTGAGGAAAGTTCTTTGTAAACCTTAAATTGCTATTTAAAAATGAATTATCATTAAGAAGAAAATTTGGAATTCATAGAGTTTATTGCAGAAATATGTAATGACTGGGGTTTTTACTCCATCGTATTAATCACCAGGAATGATTGCTCCTGAAGAAGTTGCTATTGCTTTTATGGGAAAGTCATTATTGAACTTTCCAAGAATCAATTTAGGATGATGATAATGATAATAATTGATAATGATGATAATAATAACTGACATTTATATAGTGCTTTAAGGTTTGCAAAGCACTTTAAATAATACATAATTCCACTTGACCCTTGGAACAACCTTGCTATTATTCTTTCCATTTTGCAGATGAAGAAACTGAGATTTGGAGATGTTAAGGATCACAGTCAGCATCCCAGAGTCTATAATAAGGTTCTATTCATGGAATCACAGAATTTGTAAAAGAAATTTAAGGATCATCTAGTATAGCCATTCTCTTATACAGCTAAGGAAATGGAGACCCCCTAATAAATAGTAAAAATGCCTTGCTCAAGGTCACATAGCTAGTTATCAACAAATCTGGGGCCAGAATTCAGGGCTTTCTCTAGTCTAAAGCTCTTTCTACTGTCGGCCATTGCCCCTCTTAACACTTAGCCTCCACCCCGTCCCTGCCCTTACCAGTGCTCAGTTTCCAGATCCTGGGCTAGGACACTTTCAAATGCTTTCCACCAAGTAATCAAGGGCTCAGACTTTGGAAAGGCAACTGCTACCCTCACTGTGGCCACACTGCTTGCTCAGTCGGTAGTATTTCAGCCTTTGGCCTTTCTCAGACACTCCCCACTGTTCAGCCTCAGATGAGACACCTTTTTCTAATACTCAAGGTTAAGCAAGTCTGAGCTCCTGAAACCCGATTGTTTGGGAACCAGGATTTCATTCACTGAAAGGAACAAACCAAGCAAATATTAACTGACAAGACCCCTGTGAAGTAGGTACTCTAGGTACTACCATCCCCATTTAACAGATGAGGAAACCAAGGCTCAGAGAGGTTAAATCCTTTGGACATGGTCACAAGGCTAATAAGTGAAAGACAGGATTCCAACCAATATCTTCTGTGCTCCAAGGTTAGCACTCTGTGCTCTATACTATTCATTTTACATGACACAGGCATGATGTGATATTTTCCAACTTTTCCTTGGTTAATGCTTGGCAAGCAGCTCTCATGAAGAGGTGGCAGAGGTTCCACAGCGGGGTTGCGTGTCCAAAGTATAGAAGGGTGGCCAGGGAAACCCCTGATTTGTTGGCCCGGAAGGTCCATCGGGAGATCCCTGTGTCATTCCAGCAAAGCACATAGACCTCAGCAA